AAAAAAGTCTGAACGCAACAATTGAACGCCATTGGACCCTCCCTCGAGAGTGCAGATGGGTATATGTAGAATGATTTTGGAGTGACCGAATCTCTTGTGAGCCTGGTTGTCAACTGTCATTTAGTGCAAACTGAACGGTAAAGACCTCCCTCTATCTTCAATGGCGATTCAGTTCCGTCCTCAAATGGGGTTCTTTTGTTAGGGATATATAGACATGAAGGGTGATATCGATATCGCTTAGTGGTTAGGATTCTTCTTCGCGTAGCAGGCGCTGGCTTCCGCCCATTCCTATACGGCTCTTGTTCGACTGTCCTTCAGCTTCAGTGCGGACCCTATGGTCTGACCTTTTACCTGATCTCCCCAAGTCTTCGCCCGTTAAACTTCAGACGGCTAAGAGTTCTTGTAAAAGATGGTTTTTTGTAAACGGGACCGCTTTTTTGCCTTCGTCTGCGCTTTCAGAGGAAGCATTCATATACTACTGAAGACTTCGTCTGATACACATAAATGGCAATTTTCTCTAGACGTGCTCACTCCGTCTTCTTCTTTGCTCGGTTGCTTTCAGACTCAGCGTTGGCAGGCTGGCAGCGTTCTCGGCGTCGGCCGCTATAGTTTGACTGACGCCGAGGACGCCGGAAAGACAAGACGGGTTAATCGTCCCGTGAATGTGTTACACATTGACCCAAACACACGCTGAAGCGCCTCCAAACACCCGTCACATATTATAAAGGTACCCCGGGTGAAGCCCACAGGGGATGGTGGATAGGGGTGTACTGTGTCACACGTGCACGGGACGTTAAAGTTCCCCTAACGCCGGAAAGTAGCCTTCGCTGTTTCGCAACGTTCGAAGTGGTGCCTGTTGTTGTCTGCGCTCTAGCCCACGCGGCAGAGAAGCAGAGTAAGTCGATACCTGCCCACGCGTGAATTTGGGAGATTAGAGTCTAAACGGCGAAGTTCGCTTATTTTTACTGCACCGTTGGTCATCCTTTTAAATTCTAATTTTCAAAGTTGTTACGCCGAAAAGTGGACTCGCCCTAATGAGTTGTTGAGTCACAAAACGTCCATCTACACCCTGTGCCCTTTGCTTTTGCTATTCTCCAGCTGTTCTTTTTATTTTTTGTTTATGCTTATTTGTAGCTGTTTTTTCTTGATTATTTGATTCCATTTCAGTCGATTGGCTATAAGGGCATTCTCCTCTTCGGTACTGATGAACAAAAAGATAAATATCTACCAGATTTGGCTGCTGGACGTAAATTTGCTGCATTTTGCCTTACCGAGCCGAGCAGCGGATCCGATGCCAATGTGAGTGCTGTGTTACTGCGTGAGCGATAAAAATGTCCTAGAGCATTTCTATTAGTGAANAGTCACAAAACGTCCATCTACACCCTGTGCCCTTTGCTTTTGCTATTCTCCAGCTGTTCTTTTTATTTTTTGTTTATGCTTATTTGTAGCTGTTTTTTCTTGATTATTTGATTCCATTTCAGTCGATTGGCTATAAGGGCATTCTCCTCTTCGGTACTGATGAACAAAAAGATAAATATCTACCAGATTTGGCTGCTGGACGTAAATTTGCTGCATTTTGCCTTACCGAGCCGAGCAGCGGATCCGATGCCAATGTGAGTGCTGTGTTACTGCGTGAGCGATAAAAATGTCCTAGAGCATTTCTATTAGTGAATTAGAAAATTCGCAAAGCAGGTTCTTGTTTAGTCAATCAAAACTCGAGCTGAGAAAAGTCCGGATGGGAAGCATTACATACTCAATGGTGGTAAGATCTGGATCAGTAACGGTGGCTTCGCCGATGTCTTCACCGTATTCGCTCAGGTATTTTCTTTTTAATTCTGTATTTTATCTACGTTTCAGTACTTTTCAATTACCAAACAAACAGCGAACCTTTTTAACCAAACTGGGCAGGAGGTCAGGGCATTCTGGATGGATTCGGGTGTTTTCTCCCTTTACATATAGTCTTAAATGACGATGGTTAAAGTAATGTGATATGTAATCTTACCGTACTTCTTCTGAAGCTTCTATAGAAGATATGGGGGTTCGATGGTATTTTTTAGGGTTGCAAATTTCGGAAGGATAATTAAATTTTCTTTGACGTCTTGGATCAACTGGCTGGTTTTATGACTAATCCCTTGACTTTTCTATTTTCCATTTTCTCATTCCACGAGCGACGCCTCAATCCGAATGATTTGAAATGGGTAAAAAAATATTCGACTGTTTCTTCAATTTGCTTTTGGAGGGGGAGCGAAATGGAGCATTTGAACAGGGCGCTTTTTGGCAGAAACATTTTGGAATTATTTCGGAACTAATGTTGGCAGCTGCATTGGCGCTTGTATTGTAGGACTGGTGACATCAATCGGGAACTACTCCTGTAGATATTTCACCTCAAAGCATTATAAGCAAAAAATGTTCTGTAGTCATGGACAAAAAAAACTTTCCCACTGCTGCCGTCTCCATCCAAGTGTTCTGAGAACACTGATGTATGGTGTAGAAAAGGATCAGATTGTGCGCTACACTATCGAATTCCTCGGATGGTATTCTGATCAAAGGAGCAGAGTTTTTGAAAGTGCGACTTTTTTTGACATCGGTATGATAAAAGACGATGCAACTCTCTGCACTGTGGAAGTGAAACTCATCGGTTCCAACATCAATTTTTGATTTATTTTTCCTACAAAACCATTTTACACCTTCAAAATGGTACGAGATTCTTCGAGATATACTAAAGCTCTCGCCGTTGCTCATCCGGAGATCCGATTTTATCCGTAATACGGTCATGTAGATTGTCAAAAGCAGCATCACCTGGCGATTGATTTACTTTCCTTTTGACAAAAGGAGTGGATCATTCGCAGATGGGAGTAATTTATAAGGGATAGCCATCAGCGTAATATTCCTGAAAGTGAAATTACGGGGTTTGTTGGATTTCTGCCTCATCCCGCGACCATTTAAGAAGTAGAAGGAACCGCATAACACTATGGGAATCCATTTTGAGCAAGCCCTTGCTAAAGCCATTTTACTGAGTTGGGCTCAGCAATCACTGCTGAAGTCAGCAGCAACGGAACTGTCAGACCGGAGCTTTCTACGGAAAACCATTGCTGATATTAAGGGCGAGTAAGAACAACAGATAACAAGTGGGAGGCGTAAAACTGCATTGTACTACAAGTATGTGGCACACATCTTGTCAAAAAACGAAGCGAGCACAACTATCAAAGATGCAAACCCTATGAGTCCATGACTTTACCAGATGCGCTTGCCATCACATCAGCAACAATGTTTGACGATCAGCAAGAGGTGTCATTTGCACAGGTTGGGGAGGCTTTTGTCCATTTTTCAAAAAGTGACTCGCGGAGTTGAAAAACACTCCCAAGTAAGCGTTCAGAAACCCATACGGAGCTTAACATCTCATCTGAGTGAGCCATTGGAAGCTGGTACCCTTATCAGTCCTTTAGACAGAAGATCCCTCATCGAAGAGGTGGATCCCTTGAACTTTGTTGTTTGGTGCAGCAGATTCTTTGCAACTTGAAATACACTTGTAATGATTGGACAGTTACCTATGTAGTTATAGGCACAATCTCGTTACAGACTCCGGTAAAAATGCCTGACGGCAGCACGAAAGACAAAGTGTCCGCGTTCATAGTCGAGCGAGCGTTTGGCGGTGTAACCAGCGGTCCACAAGAAAAGAAAATGGGTATCAAAGGATCGAATACGGCTGAAGTGCACTTCGATAACGTTAAGGTTGGCACTGAATCTACGGACATTCTTCAAAATTCTGCTTGATACATTGCATTTGGGCTGGAAAGATGTATTTACAGGTTCCCGTAGAGAATTTGCTTGGAGTTGAAGGTGAAGGATTCAAAGTAGCGATGAATATCCTGAACAACGGCCGATTCGGTATCCCTGCATCATGTACTGGTTCAATGAAATACTGTATTCAAAAGACGGTGAGAACTTTTGATTCCAATTGAATCAAGGTTTTCTTTACCAGTTGTTGCATAGAACGTATTACTGTCTTCACTATGTAATGTTTAGGTTGATCACATAACACATCGCGTGCAATTCGGTCAAACGCTGCAGGAGTTCTTCAACGTTCAAGTTAGTTTTACCAGGCTTCTTATTTCGAGATTTTAAGGTTTTATGGTAGTTAATCGATCTAAATCTCTCTTAGGAGAAGCTCACAAACATGGTCGCTCGACATTATGCCACCGAGTCAATTGTCTATCTTCTTGCAGCGAATATGGATCGCGGAATTCAGGACTACCAGCTGGAAGCGGCCATTGGCAAAGTTGCTGCGTCGGTAGGTTTCTGTTTCTTTTGCAGCAATCGGTCATTATGGAGTTACCCTTTTCCTGATTTGAACGTAGTCGCAGTATAACAGCTTCGTGGATTATGTAATCATTTTGTGTACGTTGTGCCTGGTCTGGTGCCATAGATTTTGAGGTGATAGTAATCTCGTGTAGGTAGAGGCCATTGTAGTCCAGTGAGAAAGAACCTACAGACTCCTTGTCATCTTTTCCTCTGGGTACTCTAGCGTGGGCGTGAGAGTGTTGTGCATGCTGAGAAAGTGACTGATATCTAGTAGTGAAACGTGTTGTGTGACATTTTTCATCAGCCTCTCGAAATTATGGTCATTTAAAGCATCAAAAGGTATAATTATTAATTTTTAGTTCCAGCGAACTTGAAAAAAAAGATCGAGAGAGTTAAACTGGCTGACTTCCAACTTCTTAAAACTTACTAGATAGCTACTGGTTACTCTGGTAAACGTAATGTGAATAAGAGGTTTGCCCTTCACGAATAATATAACACAAATCACTAAGGTCAGTGATGAACACTCAAAGCGTTGCTATGCAATGGTTTTGAAAATGTTTGGACTCCGTGGATGTTTTGTGAGTGATTTGCTCCTCAGTCGTGGTCATGTTGCGTGCATGTTACGTAGATTGTGTAAAGGCTGTTTATGTGTTGTGTCTATCTGCCTGACAACAGTTGACGTCACACAGGTGGATCAAGAAGTGGAGAAGCTTTCATACGCAATTGATAAACACAACATACGTTGACGTGACGAATAGCACCCTTGTGTCTCCGGGACAGTGAGTACAGTACACCTGCACGTGGTGGCACAACAAACGACCGATCGGGGAATGGAGCGTGGAAAGCTAAATACCGATGATT